ACTCCCGTTCGCACTCGGTCTTGCACTTAAAAGTAACTGGGTTCAGGGAGCCGGAAAATTCATTATGACGGGGGAGGCGAACGCGACGGGATGCGAGACGTTTAGTGGACTGACAGATGGTTAAGAGCCACAGTAAGCACCTCCAAGACTTCGACGTGTCACTCGGGGACACGACCTGCTGGCCCCGTGCAGACACCAGACGCAGACAAGGCGCACCCACAAGGCCAAGCTAGAGGACAGGAAGGTGATGGTGTCCCCGCTGTGCCTCACGGGGGCTCATGGGCCAGCAGCATCTCTGGGGGGCAGCAGTGGGGGCTGCTGAGAAATGCGGCGTCTCAGCCCCCCCCCCCCCGAACCAGCGCGTGCATCCTGACACCTGGCAGGCTCCAGGCCACTGATTTGCGTATCGCAGTCAGCGGGTGCTGGCCTCTAGGCTCAGTCCTGCTTCACATCCCACAGCAGGAGCCCCCCCACCCCACCCCAGGGCGCCGGGCCCTCTGCCCCATGCCGGGTCTCGGAACAGGGGACGCAGGAGTCTGGCACCGGCACTTGGCACGCTGGAGGGACCAGCTTCTAGACGCGCCTTCCCCGTAACACAAAATGCCTAACGGCGAAGCCCTCGCACAGACAGACAGCCGAGGGAGCATCAGGGCTTCCGACAGGAGTCATCTGGTCGGAGCACTTTAAACCCAAGTCCCAGCTGAATCTGTCACGTGGCCGCCCTCGCAGGAGATTCGAAGATAGCAGCCTCAGCAATTTCCCAGCCGGAGGAGCCAGACTGCCCGGCTGCCCGAGTGAGCACAGGGGCGTGGGGGCGGGGGCGGGGGCGCAGTGCTCCCCAGGGGCTCCCTCTGCCGCAGGGGGTGGCCTCCTGTACCTGGAGCCATGCTGAGCCCGTGAGCCTGCAGAGGGGCCCTGGGAAACGCGGGGGGGGCAGAATTGAGAGGAGCAGCCCCCTCCTGGGTGGAGAAGGGGGTTTCCTGGCAGCGAGGGCGCAGAGCAGGGAGCAAATGCATATTTGATGACATTTCCCTGCATACAGCCTCCCATCTGAAGAGCCAGCTCTGAACATAGCCGGGCCAGGAACAGACGGAGGACAGGGAAGGGCGGGGAGGCCCCGGGGGGGGGGGGCGGCCCCTGGAGCGAGCGAGCGGGGCAGAGGCCCTGGGGAGCCACCACAGTCCTGCCTGTTTAACACGGTCTCCACGTGCCCCCCGCTCTTAGGAGAGGAGGCTCGGAGCCCAGGTAACACGGGTAACAGAGGGACTCGGCACGGAGAAGTGTCCCTCTGTCCCCATTACCACTCCTAACGCCCACTAGGCTAACAAGATATAAGGGGACAGTTCCCTTTCCTGGTTCAAAAGAAACCAAGTTGCTTCCACACAACAGTGAAAACCAAGCGAAGGAGGCAGCAGATGGATTACGCTGATGAGAGGACACCTCTGGGCGTCTGCATCACGCGGAGCAGGGGCCGCGGCCAGGGGGCTGCTTGCGGATACGGGTCTTGCGTGCAGCCGGACACCTGCCTCCGCTCCGCTCGGGAGCCCACCCCACATCCCGGGTGCTCCCTTGAGCTATGGCTGCCAACGCGGGTCACGTGCATTTGCTCTGCGGACACCCCAGAAGGGGCCACTCACGCCAAGGGGTCCGAGTCCACCCCTCTCGGCCCGCTGGCCCTCCCCTCAATGCCACTCTTGCCATCGGACACTCAGAGGCTGTGGCCGCACACAGGGCGCCACAGACCCCTTCTCCCCCCTACGCCGAGTCCTCCCCTCACCGGCCCTGCCCTCCAAGAATGTTCTGTAGTTCAGTCGTCTTCCTACCAGAAAGCTGTGTGTGCTGGAGACCGGAACCGCAAGGGAGCCCAGAGAAGACAGCCGGCGCTTCAAGGTCAGCCGGGCCCAGCCTTCCTGCTCCATTCACAGCACCAGGCAGATGAAAATCACCGAAAGACTCCCAGCACCTGTGGGCTGCATCCTTGAGCTTGGAGCGAGGGAGCTAAACTGACTTCTGATCTGCTAAAGAAAAAAAAAATATATAGATAGATAGATAGATGGAAAATCTAAGAGCACCAGAATATGAAACTGGCAGAAACACACACTCACGTTTTGGGAAAAAAGTTATAACTGTGACACTGGGTCCATTATAATTCCATTATCCAAACTTCATGCATTAGTGACATACAGCGGGCAGAACCCCACACGCAAAGCTGGAGGGAATCTTCGAATCCAGCGCCGACCCAGTAAGTGGCCGGTGCTCCAGGCAGAGCTGTGTTCTGCTCACTACCTCCCAGCCCAGCAGGGCTCCACCAGGAAGGGGTAGTGAGCACACGGGCTTCCCAGGCGAGGCGCTGCCCGGGGCAGCAATCCAGGAATGGGGGCCAGGAACGCCACCCCCCAACGGGACCGAGAGAACCCCCCGCCCCCCACCCCCCGCCCCCCACCCGCAGGACAAACAGGCCCCTGGGGGTCCCGCATTCTTTGGAGAGAAGGATCAGCAAGAAATAATCCTCGGCACCAGAGAGCTATGATAATATTTTGAAAACGACTTACTTTAGCTTTCTTCCAAGTGGAGCAGGTGAGAAAAACAGGCGGCTGATCTGTCTCACAGAAATCCTTCCATTTCGCGTAGAGTTCTGTTGGCACTGGGATCAGCTTCGACATTTCCATGACTTTCGTCAACAAGTTCTCCAACAGGAACACAAAGCAGGGCATGGAGTGCCCGTCCAATGACTGGCAGGAGAGCAGAGGGCTGGCCATTCAAAAGAAACGCACAACAGTCTTTAAAACACACCTGGAATCCCACCAATGCGAGAGCTTTCTCTGCGCTCAGTTAGGGGCCAAGTGCTTTAAGCTGTGGCCACTTAGTTCGCATTAACGCATTAACGACTCTGCAAGGCAGAGTGTGGGGTCCCCATTACCAAAGGGGGAGCAGGCGCCAGCTTAAGGGACTGTCACAAAATTACACATGCTGCCTCAAAAAAAAAAAAAAAAAGGTGCTTGATTCTTTTTCCTCCCCACGGACCCCCATCAGTCACAAACGGATGCAGACCTTGGAAATTTCTTCTGATCTTAAAGGAAGATACACACTTTGCACAGGTGCACACGCAGAAGGAAGAACCAGACCCAGCACCATTTCTTATCAGAGAAAGATGTTTAATCTGCAGGGACATGAACCCGTATAGGTTCTCTCCTCCCTGTTTCCAAGCAACCAACTTGAAAACTCATCAACTGGGCTCAAGAGAAAGCTTCGGAAGCTTCCTTGCGCGTGTTATGCCCCCTGCAGAGAACGGTTAGTATCAGAATCAGTGCAAATGCGTCCAGACACATGCTCTCTAACCTGTCCTGGAGGAGCCTTCTCCATTCCGTCACTGTGACTCTGAAACCAATGTGTCTTCCCAATATCAAATTCACTAAATAATTTAATGGAACGTAGCACGACCCCATGCCGTGCACAGAAAGCAGTCTGGGCGGCTGGTTCCTAATCAGGTCTGGCACTATCTCACTGCCTCGGCCGGATGCTCGGGGGTCACACACTTGTAACACCCCTGAGGGACCTCACGGCGCCACAAAAAAGCCAGGGAGCCCCTGCCCCCCAACTCCGCATCAGAGGTCCTGTACAGAGTTCAGCTGCAGGCTGATCTAGGACCCGGTCACAAGGCCCTGGCCCCCTTTATTCTCCTGAGTGGCTCCTGCCACCCAGGGACAGGGTACAGAGGGCTCTCAAAACCCAGCTGCCCCTCTCCCCCTGCGCGGCGCCCCCACGCCTGGGGCCCGGGGGGGGGGGGGGGCGCACCTTGCGGAGACCCAGGGCCACACGCCCCGACTGGAGGAAGCGGCTGGGAGCTGTCCATGGTGGCGCCGCGCCTGGGCGCCGCGCCGCGGGTCTCCGGCCCCGGGGCGCGCCCGGCGTCCCTCTCCAGACCGCAGGAATGGAGACTCGCTCCCAGGCTCACCATCTCCGGGATGGGGCTGCGGCCGGGCGCTGGCTCACACATCAAAAGATTCGTTTCAAAACCGAGTGCTCACCTGTGGGCGACGTTGTCTGCGCGGAGCGAGCCTCAGGACCTCCAGCACGGCCGCCGGGCGGGACGCGGGCGGAGCGGCGCGGTCGCCGGGAGTCTGCGGCGCAGGACCTCGGGCGCACGGCGCGCCGGTCTCCAGAGGCCGTGCGTGCCGCCGAGTCCATTCCAGAAGGTCTCTGGCCCCGGCTCCCGAGCGGCGAGCTGGAGACGTGGCCACGGGCCTGGCTTGCGCTCTGCCAAGGCCCCTGCCTTTCCTCCCAACCTAACTTAACCTCTTCTGGAGCCGACGTCCCGTGCCAGGCACCGCCAAACCCTCTCCCGGCGATGCGGGGTTTGGAGTCTCAGTCTAAACATCAACGGGCCGTCGACCTCTTTTAACATTCAGTCACGTCCCGCGCCAGCACGAGGCGGGGAGCCCAGCACGACCCGGGGTGCGGGAGCCACAGGCAGCGGGGGGCGGAGGGGCTGCGGGAGGGAGACCGCGCAGGGCCGAGCCGCAGGGCGCAGACCTGTTGCCAGGCGCACACCCACTAGAGCACAGCGGGAGCGGCTCCCCATCGGCCGGGCCCCCGCGACCTGACCCTCAGAGCGGACCCTCATCCGCAAGCCACTGTCCCGGCGCAGGACGCCCCCGCCGCCCCCGCCCGCTCAGCCGCGGAGAAGCGGGGGGCTCTCCGGAAAGCAGGAGCGCCCCCGACCCCAGCGCCGGGCGCGCTCCGCGGACGCCGGCGCCCCGGGCACCTGCTGCTTGCACAGACCACACGGCCCCGCTGCCATCTCAGAGGACAGTGACCGGGGCGCGTGCCCGTCAGCGGACGGACGGACGGACGCGCACCGCAGAGCACCGAGGGGACCGACCGACCGAAGCCGAGGGCGGGCGACGCTTTCCCGCGCCCCGCGGAGGCGCCGGCCCCGCGGTCGTCCCTCCCCCCCGAGGCCTGCGCCGGTCCGCGCGCCCCGCGCCCCGCGCCCTTACCTCCGGGTCTGCGGCCCCGCGGGCTCCAGGAACGTGCGCCAGCGCAGGGGGCGGTGGCGCTCACGAAGCGGGGTCCCCGCGCCCGGCCGGTCGCGCTCCGTCCCGGACGCCCCGCGCCTGCCTCGCCGCGCTCCGCCCGAGCTCCCCGGCGCCCCGGCCCGAGCGGCGGCTTTTAGAGCTCCGCGGCCCGCTGGCTCCTCCCCGGGGCCCAGGCGCCCCGCCCCCGGCCGCCCGCCCCTCGGCGAGGTGGGGCGGGGGCCCGCGCCCCGCTCCCGGCCCCGGGCGGGCTCTGGCGGCCGCTCGGGGAGGCGCAGACCCGAGCCCGCCGCCGCCGGGGCAGGGCGCCCGAGCCCGGGGCGCCGCGGGCCGCAGGGGCTCCGGAGTGGCCGCGAGCCGGTCGGGGCCAGCGAGTCTCGGGATCCTTTTTTTTTTTTTTAACTTCTCCCGAAAGAGTGGCCTTGGAGAGAGATCTCGGGATAGGGACCCAGTGTTTGAAAGCAGTCAGACCGCCAGGCTATGTGGCTGCAGACACAAGTGGGTATCAGTTTCCTCATCCGGAAAATGGGTTCTATGAGCTTCCTGGGGTCACTGCTGGGAATTCACTGAGGCCTCAGTAGTACGCGGGTTCCCTAACACTTAGTAGGTGCTCAGCGAGTTAGACTCCTTCAGGTGTCCTTCCCTGTAACCGGACAGACCAAGGCCCTCCAGGCTCAAAGCAAGCAGGTCTGGCGGCTCCAGGTGCTCCCCTGCCCGAGGAAGCAGGACCTGCGACCGGTCTCTAGGGCACCTGGCGTCATCTCTCAATTCCGCCACTAACTTGCTGTGTGACCCAGGGTCATCTACTCGCCCTCTCTGGGTCCCTGTTTGTTTGCTGTTGGTAAAACGAGGGCTTTGGCCCTCAGTCCCTTCCACCTTTCTGGAGCTTACAGCTCAGCCCTCTCACCTGGCTAACGGGGGTCCCCCTGGAAAACGCACCCCTGTCTTCCTTCCAGGAAGTACCCCGTGCACCAACCATGCGGGGAACGTCCGCATTCGAAGGGCCTGGGCTCTGGGGCGAAGCTGTAGTCGGACAGAGGCTGTCGGGGTCTGTGTCTGTCTGCTGGGCCGAGGCCGAAGCACCAATTTTCTGGCTAAACCAGGAAGGCCTGCATTCCTCTCCAGGCCTCTCCCAGAAGGCTGGTCTCCACCCTCACCGGGGTCACTGATTGCAGTTCTCAGCCCTTCCTTGACTTCTTGAAAGGTAGGGAGCTGGGTCTCAAGGCCGGCATCTGTCCCCCACCTCTCCTTCCAGCAAATTCCGACAGAGCCCACCCATGTCCCCTCCTCCCCGTATCATAATCTCTGGCTCCTTTCCTTCCCCACAGAGGACCCCCCAGACGCCAGAGCCCACAAACATTTGGAGGGTGCTGAGCATCCGGCCCAAGCAGAGCAAAAGGTCAGCTTTGAATCAGCCTTGCTGGGGGCAGGAAGAGCCACAGGGAGACAGCCCTTGTCTCCCATCGGCACAGAGCAGATCTGAGGCCTGCAGGCAAGCACTCTCTGCCGAGGGATCGGCTCCCCAGGCCCCGAGAGACAAGACAGTAGAGGCAGACTCCTGTCTGCTGATGGGCTCGGAGAATTACTTAGTCACGTTTTCTCAAAGCACAGAAATGCCCAGCACATTCCTCTGGTGTCCAGCTTTCGTTATCACAGACCAGTGCCCGGGGGAGGGGGTAATGCTGGTGGATTGCACACAGGCTCCACGTGTCTGAAACCAGACTCTACCAGAGCTCCATGGGGCACTTCCACTCGGCATGTGACGGACAGCGTGCGCCAGGCCACCCTTGCAGCCCCATGTCAGCCACGCTGCTCGGAGGAATCCTACCCGTACCTCCCTCGAGCCACAGGCTTGCTCCTGCAAGTGCAGAGAGAGCAGCTGGCGAGGAGGGCTCTGTTAGTTTTGAGTTCTTATCTTTTGGGTTTTGGTTAGTATTTGGTCCCCCCCCGGGAGTCTCCAGATAGAGGGGAGATGCTCTTAAATGGTGGGACTCTACCCAGAAAGGCTGCCGCTCCTCCAAGCCCGCCTTTGGCCTCCACTGCCCTCCCGGCCTCCACCCACAGGTGAGATGTAGCCCGTCAGACACACCCTCTGTATTGAACGGCCTGTCTGCCGCTCTCTGCTCCCGCACGCTGCCCGAGTCTGGCATTTTCAGTCAGCTGGCGGGGTGCGAGTCTGTCCCCCAGGGCAGGAGTCGCCGCAGTCCACCGGCAAAGCCCGACCCTGGCCCCGCAGCAGCCCACCTGTGTGATGTCTGAAAGGCTGACCACACCTGTGGGTCTCCATCCCCTAAGCCTCCAGATGAGGTTTTCCCAGGAAAAGAGCAGGCAAACCTGAGGAAGGGGGGGGGGGCGGGAGAGCCTGCGGGGAGTGGGAGGCAGAATGCAGCTAGGGGAAGGAGAGAGGGGCTGTTTCAGCAGACCCCGCAAAAAATAAAACCTCAGGGCTCCCAATCCGCGGGCATGCTTAAATTCTACCGACAGAGGTCGCCCTTGCACACCGAGCCTGAAGCTGGCATCTGAAACCGGGAAACTCCCGGCCTGCACCCTGGAGACGGATTTCCAGGACTAAGAGCCGCTCAGTTCCTGTTTTGTTGGAGGCAGATGAGGTGGCTGAGCCAAGAGAGACAGATCCTTTGAGTGGAGGTCTGTGCTGGAATTCGGGACGGGAAATCTTAGAACGCTGGCCAAGCCCTCGCAAGGTCTGGAAGTGGATTTCCACATCTCCCTCTTCAAACTCATCCCTGCTGGAGAGAAAGAACATTCCTTCCTGTGTTTTTAAATATCTGATACTTTGCACACACTCGCGAGTGTGAGTGTGTGTGTGATGTGTTCACATCACGTATTTCTTTCTCCTAAATGCTAAGGTTGTGTGTGTTGCTTGCAGGAAAAAACTTGGAACAGCTCAGAAAATGGACCAAGGCAAGATCTCCTCATTGCAAACCTAAGGGGTGTACATGACAAAAACTCTGCAAAACGTAGAACAGCGTAAAGGAAAAATATCACTGCCGCTCAGAGATCATCACTGTGAACTTGGAGTAGAGAGCCAGGTGTTTTTCCACGTGCAAGTTGCATCTGCAGACTCATGAATGCATACACACCTGTAAGTTTCGTGTAAGTAACTCACTGTTTAGCTCAAAGTCCTTCTTTCCCACCAGCTTGCATGTCCTGCAGAGAGAGAAGCCCAAGTCCCTCAAGTTCACTGCTTTCCCTACAGTGGCCCCTGTGCTGCCCAGCATAGTCAGTACGCAAGAGGCACCCACACTGTGAGTGAATGGGTACAGAGCAGCGTTTTCAGTTACACAATATTCCTGCAGTTCATGGAGAAAGAAACCCAAATGTTTCACAAACATTTGAAAAGAGGCTCAAATTTGTAGCAACGTGGATGGAGCTTGAGGGTGTTATGCTGAGCGAAATAAGTCAGACAGAGAAGGACAGATACCATATGTTTGCACGTATAGGTGGGTTAGGAGGAACTTAACAGAGGACCGTGGGGGAGAAGGAGGGGGTAAATAGGGGGCAGAGGGAGGGAGGCAAACCATGAGAGACTCTTGAATGCCCAGAACAAACTGAGGACTGATGGGGGGGGGGGGGTGATGGGCACGGAGGAGGGCACTTGTGGGGATGAGCACTGGGTGTTCTATGGAAACCAACTTGACAATAAACTATTTAAGAAAAAAAAAGAAAAGAGGCTCAACTTTGCACATTAAACAAAGAAACGCAAATGAACAGTACGCTGAAATACCTATGGGGACTGGCAGAAATCCTGACGTTTGATGATGTCGCCCTTGGTGGGGACTGGGGTGAGGATGGAGAACAGGCCCTTGGCGCAGACATTGCTGAGGAGACCTTAAACTGGTGTCGTCTCAGAGGGCAGTTGGCCAAGACTGATGAAAATGTATATTACATTGGACTCAGCAATTCCTCACTTCTGGGAATTAGTCCTGTAGATGGGTTTGCACGAGTGCGTGATAACACACAGGGATGCACCCTGCAGCCCTGCTTGGAAGAGTAAAAAATTGGGAACGGCCAAAATGCCTAGTGACAGAGCTCAATAAATTATGTTATGTCCATACAATGGAATACTATGCAACTATTTTTTTTAAAGAGTAAGGATAAATTTTATGTACTAGGATCATAAAGTAGGGGTGCCTGGCTGGCTCAGTCAGAAGAACATGTGACTCTTGATCTCAGGGTCATGAGTTCAAGCCCCACGTTGGGTGTAGAGATCACTTAAATACATAAATAACTTTAATTTTTAAATAAATAAAGAATAAAAATTTCAAATGTAGAGCAATGTGTGTAGCAAGCTACCATTTGTCCAAAAGGGAAGAGAGAAAGGACGTAGTTTACGTTTACTTAGTGTCATCCAGAATGAGGAATCATCTAGAAAGACACACAAGAGACCAACGCCATGGTCTCCTGTCAGTTGCTGGTGGTGGTTTTGGTGGGAGGGGGGAGGGGGGAAGACAGGAATAGGAAATGGACTTTTCATCATGTAAGTTTTCATACTTTTTCGCTTTTGAACCAAGTACATTTATTACCTGGGGTGGGGGGGGAAGCAAATAATTTTTGAAATGGGAAAAAAAAATCAATCATGTCATATATAGTAATAAATCTTTTTTTTTTATTTTTTTTAATGTTTTATTTATTTCTAGGAGAGAGAGAGAGACAGCGTGAGCAGGGGAGGGTCAGAGAGAGAGGGAGTCACAGACTGAAACAGGCTCCAGGCTCAGAGCAGGCAGTCAGCACAGAGCCCGACGCGGGGCTCGAACCCACGAACCGCGAGATCATGGCCTAAGCAAAAGTAGGATGCTTAACCGACTAAGCCACCCAGGCGCACCTATAGTAATAAATCTTTTTTTCACATGATAATATACCATAAACACTTCCCCAAGTCTTTTTTTTTTTCTTTTTTAAGTAATCTCTATCCCCAACATGGGGCTTGAACTCATGGCTCTGAGATCAAGAGTCAATGCTCTACAGACTGAGCCAGCCAGGAGCCCTGACATCCCTAAGTCCTGAGTCTCTTTCAACGTTAGCTTTAGGTGGTATATACCATTTCCTAATACGGACAGAATTTATATAATCAAG